TTTTTTTTTTTTTTTTTTTTTTGACGTTCAGTTACCATTTTTTGAGAACTCTCTAAACTTACTTTGCTTAAAAAAAAAGTATCCTATGACACACGCTTTCAATTAGTGTTAATAGGTATTGTCCTTGTTCACTGAGACTGCAATGTTTTCCCTGTAAATGAAGAATATTGAATTACTAATTACTTAAAGAGGACTTGTCGAACTCGCGAGCAATCGTACCCCTCCGCGTCACTTTATTCTGTTGTCTTTCACTCCACAAGTCCCACCATCATCATTTTTTCTAATAAAAATTAGAAATATCGTCGTGTTGATTTTTTTCTCAAACAAAAGATATACGATAAAGCAACGTAAGAAGAATTAACTGTCGAGATTATTGAGAATTATTTATTGTTATACAGTTGTAAATTATGAAAGTGCATGTCGTCGTCGACACGTATGAACGAAAAGAGATTTCCCACAAATTGGCAAAATTAAAGCAAATGTGTATGATGATGGTGGAGAAATTTCATCGAATATGTTAAACTCGTCGCGTGGCTCGGTGAGGGGAACACGTTCGACACGTTCGATTCTCGATCTCATCACGTTTCTTCAAATTTTTCTCCGTCTTACAACACTGCCATAAAGATTTTTCGAATGTCAATTAGTGCAAAAGCTCAAACTCACGGCGAGACTGTAACCTTCGTCCATAAGAGAGAACAATTTCCTTACACTGTCCAGGTAGTTTCTTGTATTGCCTCGTTTGAAATTGTGATACAAAAGGAAATTGCGAAAAAAAAAAGAAAAAAAATGATAGAGGGGGAAGAGCGTAGAGTAAATAATATAGAAAAGTGACCGAGGCGCGAAACGTAGAAAGACAATGAGCATTAGGTCAAAAGAGAGAGAAAGGACACCGACCAATGAGGAAGAATTTTTTTTTTATACGTTTTTACGATGAATCGAGTGTGAGACCACGGGTAAGTATGATTCTCCGAGTCGTGAATGAATAATAATAATAATCGAGTCAAGAACCACTTTAGACAATCCTCGAATCTAACGACTAATCGAAACTTAGCGTAATTTCTGCAGTTCACGAAAGAACGAAAGGCAAGAACGACGCAGAATAATAACAATGACGATAATAAAAAGATAAGGTTGATAGATATTTATAAAGAGTAAAACTTTATCTTGTTTCTAGAGGAAAGGCGAGTTGAATTTTCACTCGCATAATCGAGCTCGAGGTCTCGAAAACTGACCACTCCGAGTCAGTAGCGTTTTTTGTTATATAGTATAAATATTTATTTATATATATATATATGTTGCAAATTATATATGTATACATGTACGTGTATTATTGTTTGTAATTTAATGTCAATCGACAGAGGAGATATGTATTTTGTGTTCTTCTCCGAACAGGAAACGACGTTCTATACACGAACGTCTTCGTTCAACGTGTGTCACGCACGAAACGTTAAACGACGAGTAGTACCATCGTTTTATTGTTTTCAACGATTTTGTTTTTTTTCTTTTCCTGTTTTTTTTTTTTTACGCAGACGATGGCTGCTCGTAAGTTGGTAATTAATAGTCAAATGTTACCTAGCAGAATCCGGAGGAGCTCCTCTCGCTGAAATATATCGATTAATTTCGAGAGAATTAATACTTGCAGAAAGTGACGAAATGATGGAAATTTTTTTTTTTTTTTTTTTTCTGAAAAAGACAAACAAATGAATTTCGGTCAGAATTTTAGCGAGAGCGAACTTCCTTCGCGTGGGGATTTTCAGGTTCTCTTTTTGACAGAAAAAAGGGGAGAAAGATGTAATAATAATAAAAAAAAAAGAGGAAGTAGGAAAGAGACGAAAGTTCTCTTTGAACAGGAGGAAAGAGATCTGAACCGCAGACACACACACACACACACACACACAAGTTTCTGGAATTCTAATGAAACTAACGCCAGGATGGCACACACGAAAAGCGTGATAATTTCATTACAATGCCAGTAATATCGTGTTTGAAAAAAGAATCGCGCACGTAGTCACGTGTGACGTTAATTCTTCGATTAACACCAAATATCGAGGAACCGCGAGAGAACTTCGAGATTGAAGTTCCTCGTTGAACTTCGCGGCTTTGCCCGCACTTTTTTGCCACCCTTCAGTCGATATGTAATCAAATCACAAGGATCATACGAGCATCGAATAATAATATTTCTCGTGACGAACGAGCTTGAGGTGAAAATCCAAATAACGCGGAGTTCAAGTGAATAGATAGATAAATAAATAAATAGACAGAGGAGCAGAAGGGTTGAACGCACTCTGAAGTAGCATGATTCGCTGATAGCGCGATCGTGTGGCGATTGAATCGACAGGAAGATAGAAAATCGATGATGAAAAGAAACAAAGTAAATAAAAATGAAAAAAAAAAAAATAAAGAAGAGGAGTAAATAACATTTGAAAAAAAAAAATATATATATATAGAGAGAGAGCTCACGATGAAGATGTTCATCGTTTGATGAAAAATGATGTCATAAGACGACGATGATGATGAAGACGACGACGGACACGTATGAAGGTACATGATAAAGGTACACGATACATGGTGAATATATAATAAATAGCTTTCGAATTGGAACGACTTTAGCGAGAGTTGAAAAGCGATTATGAGAAAACGGATGAACCGTTTGTTACTTGGGTAGTTGATTCGCTCTTGCAATACGCAACAACTAATTGAGCTAATTGAGCGATCTGACACTTATTTTCATCGATTATCCGACACTTGTTTGTCGAACTAACGAAAAATATTAACGAAATACGAACGCGTGGGTTTTTCTGTGA